ATATTAAATATAAAAAATAATATGAATAATAATTAAGTTGTGACACGTACTAATAAATATAAAAACAAACTAATAAAAAAAATAATATTATTAATATAACTAAATAAAAACCTTCTAAAAATATACTTATCGATGTAATCGAACTGAGTTGTTAAACGCTTGTTAGTTTTTTTTTCTTATTAATTTTATGTGTAAACTTGAGGTGATAGACAATAGTTATTTGTACATTTATACATGTAGATTAGAAAAAAAAATCTTTATTATTCTAATTTTAAATAACTTTTTTATTTACTATATTAGTTTTTTTAATATAATATATAAGTATTGATATGGGATATTATACCCACAAGGTGGAACCGGTCTGTTGACTGGTCGAGGAGGTCATATTATGAGGAAGCCAAGGAAATCGGGCAGTTAACTAGTCGACCAAGCAGGGCTGTCGACCACACTATCCTTCGACCAGATACGCAATCGAGCAATCTATTCGACCTAAGCAGGTCGATCACTTCGGGGATTTAACATCACGCTGTTCGGCCTAGTCATAGGCGCGTGAAGGAAGCCTCTGACGGAATCCCAGGAGAATATTTACCCCATGTGCAGGAGGACACGTGTCGAGAAGGTAGTGGTGGACAGCGATAACCACCTCTGACAGCCTACCCCATGTGCAGATGGACACGCGGCCAAAGAGGATTGGTGCAGGCGATAGTGGCGACGGCCGCCTCTGACACACGCGTTTGGTGTGTACGGACGGGCAGCTAGGGCAGACAGCTCACCAAATCCGGGCAGCCCTAGGTCAGGTATCTCACCCCTATATAAAGGGGGTGAGCCTTTCTTCTTCAACACGATCATTCCATTACTCTTGAGAATTGATTGAATATACACTGACTTAAGCATCGGAGGCTCTTCACCGGAAAACCCCTCCGGTGTGAGAGTTCTTTGTAGGTACACGACGTTCAACCGGCGAGAAGGAAGGCGATCACTCAAGTTCCAGCCGGTCGAGGAGTTTTGTGTTACCAAGTATCATATTGAAAAAATAAAACAAGAAATATTTTAATTATATAATATTTAATATGTAAGAAATATAACTCAATTGATAAATTAATAGGTAATATTGAGATAAAATAATGAGTGATTTCTGAAAAAAAAAATTATAGGAACTAAAAAGTTCACGTGTTTAATATATTTTTAATAGAAAAATTGTAAATACAATTACTCAATAAATACTACATAAAAATATAAGAAATCTTATATCCTCCCTATATAATTAAAAAACATAACTTTTCTCAATTCAACATAAGCAAATCAATGAAAATAAATTCTCGTCGGAGAGTGATATTATCTCGTCGGAGATTATTGTATCTTGTTGAAGATTCTGATTCTCTTTGAGAAGAGTTCCTCAATTTCTCCTTGCTTTATCTATTTTAGAGTGTCTTCCTTGTTTGGTGCGGTGACTAAGCTAGGAGTCAGTGTGTTTTCGTAATTAGGGTTCGACAATGGCCGAGGATCTGGGGGATCAGTTCCGAGCCCTGGAGCTGTCGGTGAAAGAAAGTCGGGATGTGGAACTTGATAACAGCGATGTCAAATTAAGCGATGAGGAATGCCGTCGTAGTGTTCTTGGCAAAATTATTGGGGATCAGAAAGCTAATATCTTTGGGCTGAAGAGGCTAATGGGGCTGGTTTGACAAACTTCTATGGCATTTGAAGTTAAGGAGGTAGGGGAAAACTTCTTCCAATTTATATTTGGTTGCAAGGAGGATAAAGAGAAGGTGTTAGCGGGTATCAACTGGGTGTTCGAAAATCATTATCTGGTGCTGCAAGATTGGAGAGAAGGTCTGACAGCTCTTGATCCGTGATTCAGTGAAATATCTTTATGGGTGCAAGTCCATAAGCTTCCGCTAAATTGGTTGAGCATTGAGGTGGGCAGAAAGATTGGTAGCCTGTTCAAGAAAATCAAGAATGTCATTGTAGTCAAATCTGGAGGCGTCCATGGCAGCTATCTCAGATTATTAGTTTCACATGATGTGGCTGAGCCAATCCTCAGGTGTGCCCATATTAAGCTTGGAGACCAAAGACTGGGGGTAACATTTCTGTATGAGAAGCTTGTTAGTTGCTGCTTTTACTGTGGATTGGTAGGCCATCTGGAGAGGGCTTGCAATTCTAGAGCTAAGGATATTGAAGAAGGCAATCAGAGAGTGGGGCAATTTGGTGAATGGTTGAAAGCCATGGAAACAGGAAGGACGGGAGGTTCCTCGCAAAATTCAACCCCATCCCAAACAAATAGTAATCTGAGGCAATCAGGTGATCCATCCAACGCAATTCCTGAGGAGGAGGTGGCAGCTGATAAGTCTCCTAGGAAGGCCAGTGAAGACCATCCTATGGCTAATCTCCCAAGGGATAATTTGTCAGTAGCTCTGGTGCTCAGCTCTGAAGTTAATGACTGCAATGATGTTCCAATGATTCAAGGTGAAGATCAGATTATGGGGCTTGGTAACAACTTGTGGTGGTGGAGGACAGAGGAAGTGCCCATAAATTAGATAATATTAAAGAAAAGGGGCCAGATATAGAGGAGGAAGGTGTGAAGATAACATCGATAGAGCTCATAAAGTTAAATACTTCTACTTGGAAGAGGAAGAAGTCTACCTCTGGAAGACTGCAGAGGGCTATGGAAACTGATTCTGAGGGGAATATTCTAATGCTGGGTAAGAGAGGTAGACAATCCAATCATCAAGCAAGTGTTCCAGTGGAGGAGCAGAGTGAGATTGTATCCAGAAAATCCAGGAAGGTAATTGATAATCAGCTTCAACAGGTGGGGGTAGCCAGCCTTGAGTGGCCCCAAGGTGATAAATGAAGACAATCTTGTGGAACTGTAGAGGTCTAGGAGGACCCTCTACAGTTTCCCTGATCAAGGATTCCATAAGAATCCACCTCCCCAATTTTGTTTTTTTATCTGAGACTAGAAAAAACAAGTTCTTTACTGACACTGTTTGCAAGAAGCTTGGGTTTGCAGAGAGGAATTTCACTGTGGAACCTGTTGGTCTGAATGGGGGTTTGCTTTTGTTGTGGTGTAAAGAGGTGGTGGTAGTACAGGTTATAAACATCAATTTCTGTCTGCAAGTGGAATATAAGATGGCTACTTCTGAGACTAGTGAGTGGCTAATTCTTGTCTATGCTAGCACTGATTATCAGAGGAGGAAGTTGCAGTGGCTAGAGTTGGAAGGAAGTAAACAACTATGGGGATCTAAATGGTGCATAAGGGGTGATTGGAATGCAATTTGTGGAGATAATGATAAAAGAGGGGGAAGAGTCAGATCTCAGAGCAGCTTTGAGGAGTTCAATAACTTCATTGCTAGGATGGGAATGCTTGAGGTGAGAATGGAGGGATATCCCTACACTTGGTGCAATAATAGACAGGGGGAAGACTTTATAGAAGAGAAGCTTGATAGAGTTTTCGGTTCTTTTTCCTGGATAACTGATAATCCAAGAGCCAAAGTACAAACATATTTCAAGTGTGCCTCTGATCTTTCTATGCTGTTACTGGATACTGGTACTACTCAATCTCCTTTTTTCAAAAGATTTTGCTTCGACAAGAGGTGGTTGAGTAAACCGGGTTGTCAAGAGGAGGTGGAGAAGGCTTGGGTTGGTTCTGTGGAGGGGTCTTTGATGTATGTGTTGAAAGAAAAGATTAAGAAGACCAGGATGGCCCTTACAAAGTGGAATAAAGAGGCTAAATCTTTGAATATGAGGAAGATTGCGGATCTTACACTCAAATTGGAGGAAATGAGAGCGCTTGGTGGTCAGAGGAACTGGGAGGAATGGGAAAAAGTCAAAAAAGAGCTGGAGGAATCACATTTATCTGAGGTGGAGTTTTGGAAACAAAAGGCCAGAGTCACTTGGCTTAAAGGTGGGGATAAGAATACTTAGTTCTTCCATGCTGTCACTATGCAAAGGAGGAAGAGGAATGCCATTTCAAGAGTGGTGGATAATATGAACAGAGTTGCTACTAGCCAGGAGCAGATTGAGGCCTGCTTTTTAAATTTCTACCAAACACTCTTTACATCTGAGGGCTCTTGTGATGAGGATGATATTTTGCAATTAATATCCCCTGTTATTTCTGAGGAAGGGAATTCCAGACTGATGGCTGATGTTGATGAAGCTGAGATCAAGGATGCTTTATTTGCTATGAATCCCAACAAGGCACCAGGAGAAGATGACATGACTCCGTTGTTCTTTCAGCATTTCTGGCCACTTATTAAAGGTGACCTCTGTGTAGCTATTTTCAAATTCTTTGATTCTGGTAAAATGATGAGAAGTTGGAATCACACTGTTATAACCTTGATCCCAAAATGTGATAATCCTGAAAATGTCAACCACTACAGACCTATCAGTCTTTGCTCAGTTTCTTATAAAATTATTGCAAAGATAATTGCTGCTAGGATGAAAGAGTGCCTTAATCTTTGTATAAGTGATACTCAATCAGCTTTTATACCAGATAGATAGATTTTGGATAATGTGGTAGTTGCTCATGAAGTTATACATTATCTGAATAGACATAGGGTGGGGAAGAAGAGCTTTATGGCTGTGAAACTTGATATGATGAAGGCTTATGACTGTGTTGAGTGGAACTGTTTAATCAAATTGATGAGGAAGATGGGTTTTAGTCCTGTGTTTGTGAGATGGGTATTTGCTTGTATCTCATCATCTGTTTTCTCTTTAAACATCAATGGCAAAGTGAATGGGTTTATTATTCCTTCTAGAGGTCTCAGACAAGGAGATCCTCTTTCTCCCTATCTTTTCCTGCTGGTTTCTGAGATTTTGCAAAAATGATTGGGAATGCTGTCAGGATTGGTGATCTGCAGGGCTTGAAACTTACTAAAGGTGGGACTGTTTTGTCCCATCTCATGTTTGCAGATGATACTTTACTGTTCTGTGCAGCTGACTCCCATAATGCTATGAATATGCTCAGGATATTAGCATCTTACCAGAGATTTACAGGGCAGAAGGTAAATTTAGCCAAATCTTCAGTCTTCTTTAGTAGAAATGCTTCTGTGGGACTCAAGGCTGAAATTTGTCAGAGTTTACAAGGAATTGAGGTATGTCACTCCTCTAGATACCTCGGCCTTCCTTTAGGCATTGGTAAAAGTAAGAAAGAAGTGTTTGAGTATGTTACTACTGCTGTGAAGAAAAAGATTGTTAGCTGGAAAAACAGGTTTTTATCCTTTGCGGGTAAGGAGGTTTTATTGAAGGCTGTGATCTCTACCTTGCCTATTTTTGTGATGTCTTGCTTTTGTTTGCCTGCTGGGGTGTGCAAGGAAATTGCTAGACTATGTGCTAACTTCTGGTGGTCTACTGGCAAGGAACAGAAGGAAGGAGTGCACTGGCTTGCTTGGCAGAAGGCTACTACCCCTAAATATACAGGGGGACTTGGGTTCAAAGATCTCAGGGTGTTTAATGACTCTCTTATATTGAAGCAGATCTGGAGATTGCTAACCAAGCCTAACACCCTTATGTCTAGAATCTTGAAAGAGAAGTATTTTCCTAATGTTTGTGTTCTGAATGCTAAAGAAAAATTCTGCATCTTGGCTCTAAAATTCCTGGGTTAATGTGATGAATATTCATAAGACTAGTTTCAGGAAGTTGGACAGTGATGGGGCTAACACCAAAATATTCTCTGACCCTTGGGTGGAGGGTTGCAGTTCAGGTATTCCTAGTCTCAATCAGAATATTGATCAGTCACAGGTGACTTGGGTGTGGGAGCTTATATCTGAATGTGGTAGGTCCTGGAACAGTACTTTGCTGCATCATTTGTTTACTCCAGCTTCTTGTGCAGCTATTTTAAAAATGAAGTGTCTGAGTCCTGAGGTAAGAGATAGGTGGATTTGGTGTCCTGATGTTAAGGGGCATTTCTCTGTGGCCTCGGCTTATGATGTTGCTATTGATCAGAAGATTCAGAAGTTAGATTCTCCTAGTTGTAGCTATAATCTAAAATTGGACAAGAAGGCTAGAATGAGGTGCTGGTCATTGAAAGTCAAGCCTAAGCTGAGGCACTTTCTGTGGAAGTGCTTTACTAATAATTTACCAGTAGCTCTTAACCTGTTGCAGAGGAGAGTGGAAGTGGATCCTATGTGCTGTTGTTGTGGTGAGGCTATGGAATCTGTTGCTCATATATTTTTTGAATGCAGAAGGGCTTAAATGGTTTGGAGGGCATTTCCCTTGTCTTGGGATTTTTCTGAAGCTACAATTTCAGGCTTTAAAGGTTGGTGGTGGCAAATTGCTGAAATGAAGCTGACACCAGTCTCGGAAGCTCGCATCTCTTTGTCAACTTACATCTTGTGGTGGCTTTGGAAGTCCCGAAACTTGTGGGTCTTCCAAAATGCATGGATTCCAGAGGAGATTGTAGCCAAGATAGCTCACAGAGAGTGGACTGAGGCTGCTTACTATTTTTAAGGATCTCTCTTGTTTTTTGTCTGTCTTTTCTGTTGTTAGTTGTCCTATCCATAGCTAGGTCCTTATGGTTCAGTGGCTTGGATGTAGTTGTTGTTGTTTGTTTTTGTTCTGGTTTGAGGGCTCAGGTTTCCATAACCTCGGTTATGCCTGTTGTTCTTTTATGTGTTGTTCTAGGCCACCGGTCAGGTGTGGTTCTCTGGTTTGTAAAATGGCTAGTTAGCCATTCGGTTGTAGACTCCTTTTATTGAGTAATGGTATTAAGATCGTTTGGAAAAAAAAAAATCAATGAAAATAATATATTTTTAAAAATTTTATGAACAAAAGTTGACTCGACAATGTTATTAATGAATTTATGAATTGTAAATATTTAATTAAAAAATTATAATTAAATATAATATAATATAAGATATACAAATATAGTTAAATCAATTTTATTAAGTATAAAATAACATAAGATAAACTTGTGGTATGTTTTCCATACATAAATTTGAAACAATTCATTTTAAAAAAAAAAAGTAAAAAAAAAATTGGTGTAAACTTCTAGTTGTTCCCGCGTTTTGGCTAGAGAGCCTAAATCCGATATATGTTTGACACGAGTTTGTCGTAATGCTGAAACTATGGCAAATGCACCTTAGGGTACAAACGAAGCGAAGCAATGTGAAGTCATAGATAAAAAGAAAGGCTAGACCAGAGAAAGAAAATGAAATAACATTAGCTATGTGAAGTTAATTACTGCTGCAAAATGAACCCTATAATGGTGGTACCATATATGTATTCAGTGATTATGAAAATGACTTAGTTAATTAATATTTTATCAAACATTGGAAAAAATTCTAAATCTTTTTAATCTAATAATTCGTATAAAAAGTACAATTTTATCAAATATTAAATTACGTTTAATCTTATGTGATTATATTAATTGTAGCCTAATAAATAAGATAATTTGATACCATCATTATATAAAACACATACAAAAAATAACATAATACGTATAAATGTGCTTTAGTTATTTAGCAAATAAAATATTATTTGTCTATAGAATAAGAAACAAATATTATAATAGTAATGCAACGAGAAAAAGAAAACATGACAATTTTCTTAGAAAAGTATGAATACCAATATTTACAAACAAAAAGTCTTTTAAAATTACTACTTTCTTGTTGCTAGCGTTTAAATATATAGACTCTGTAAGAAATTGGTTCTCATAAATAATGATCATATATTATTTATTTTCAATTTTAAATAATTAAAAAATCTAAAAATTTGTATACATGATGTATATTTTAATCATGGCTCCATAATAATAAACTTTACAAATGACTAAAAGTATCGTCATATAATGGAATTCTAATTCTTCTGTTGTCAAATATTTTAACAAATGATATGCTTTTCAATATTTTCTCATTGTTTTGTATTATCATTGCAAAAAATAGATTATATTGTTCGTCTATATTCTAGATAAATAACACTGAAAATGAAATGTAGGAGTATCAAAACAGTTTTGAATGTTAGAAATTAAGTTGTCACTTTTTATAGAAATATTTATAATCTCATTGGTGTATTGTGCTTGAACATATGTGCAATTACCTTAGAGGTACTTTCAGGTAATGTATATGATTTCAAAAAATAATTTAGCACCTCGGGAGAAGTACATGTAACCAAGATTTTGGAAAGTCAACTTTTATTTGGAGAAAAAATTCATTCCCACCTCCTGGGGCGATGCATCAATGGGGTAGACACCAATATATATATCTAGAGATAGAGGAATGTAGTAGTTTATACAGTGAAATATCAGCAATTTTAGTGACACTGTTAGTTATTTCATAGAGATATTTATCATTTGTTAGTAGAAGTACCTTGTTACAAAGATCATATGATCATGAAGTTTGACTATATGTTGGGTCAGAATGTTTCTTAAGTGTTTGAATAAAATTGGCGTTTTGCCAAATTAATCAAGAAGAATTTTGCAATAGTATTGATGTATTGGAGTCCAACGACTATGAATGTTCTTATGAGAACGTTAAAACTAAAATGAAAGAAAATCTTTGTGCTTTTTTTATTAGGAATTTGTTTTTTATATATATTTTTGTTGGGGTTTGTAAAACGTTATTTCACTATTTTTATATGAGGACATCATTATATTAATTCTAAATAAAAAAAATCACAGATGAGTTCATTTTTCTATATTTTACTCATTTATGCAATGATATGTTTAATAAATAAATTAATTTATTTTACAAACTTACTCCGCGAAAATCATCCGACACCACGTGCACTTTACTAGTTTATAAAAAGTACAA